CTCTGATGTTTGCCTGTATGTCCTCCAGGGAGGACCAGGTGCAAGGTTCTTAGGCAGAAAAGAGGCGGGGGGTGGGGGGGACCTAGAAGAAGCTGGTGACAGTGTTAATCCTCAGTACGTTATGTTCTTGAAGAATATTTGAATGAAATCAGGGTCAAGCGCTGCCTTTTTTGTTTGTTTCTCACAGTGCTTCGGACATAGTAGGTGTTCAATACATAATTATTGAAGCAATGCATATTTGTCTCCTACTACTCTAGGTGTTTTTGGACTCCCTCGGTGCCCAGGAGAGAGCTCTCACATCTGTGATTTGATCAGAAAGACACTGAATGCTGGGGCTTACAATAAAGCTGTTCAAGAACGGTATGTATGGTTAGCTGAAAAGGACACAGAACCAGCACTTCATGAAAATGTTATGCTGACTTTCATGCTAACAGTGATTCCAGAATAGTGGTTAGTGATATTCAAATGAGATTCCCTCCCCCCCATAAATACCTCTACTATCTGCTAAATGTTTTATAAACCTAGAACTGCTTTAATAATAATTTAAAAAAGAAACAGGAGCCCTAACTGGTTTGGCTCAGTGGATAGAGCATCTGCATGCGGACTCAAGGGTCCCGGTTTGATTCTGGTCAGGGGCATGTACCTTGTTTGCGGCACATCCCCAGGAGGGGGTCTGCAGGAGGCAGCTGATTGATGTTTCTCTCTCATCAATGTTTCAAACTCTCTATCCCTCTCCCTTCCTCTCTGTAGGAAAATCAATAAAATGTGTTTTGTTTTGCTTTTTTAAAAAGAAAGAAACAGGACATTTTTCTATATAAGAAGAATGTAATTACAACAGAATAAATGTCCATCATAAAACAAACAAAAAGCCTTTAGAAAGTATCAAGCCCAAGCAATTACTATTAATATCGGAGGACAGATCCTTTATGTTGTCAGCAGCACATAGTTAGTCTCCTACATCAATGTCCCCAGTACTCAGTGTGTTTAGGTATTATTTTTCTCTTGTGTGTGTGCATGTGTGTGTTTGAGTATTTAAAGCATACAGAGTCACTTTTGGAAAAATAAATTTTTTAAATATATTTTTATTGTTTTTTTACAGAGAGGAAGGGAGAGGGATAGAAAGTTAGAAACATCATCAGCTTCCACCTGCACACCCCCCACTGGGGATGTGCCCGCAACCAAGGTACATGCTCTTGACCAGAACTGAACGTGGGACCTTCCAGTTCGCAGGCCGACGCTCTATCCACTGAGCCAAACCAGTTTCGGCTGGAAAGTGTTCTTGTTCAGTTGTTTCTAAACTAAAATATACATTAGAACCCCTGGGAAATTCATTAAAAATGGATTCTAGGGTTCCATTCCTAAAAATTCAGATTCAGTACACCTAGAGTATTCTAGGTGATAACTGGGATCCATTAGTTTGGCTATGGTATCTATTCTATGGGTTTTCCAAGTGGATCATTCTTGTCTAATAACAACTCTTCAGTACAACACTTCCTTGAAGCCATTTTCCCCAAGTATAGCCTTGTGAGTGACTCACAGAGAAACAACTGGAAGCTTGCTCTTTTCCTTTTCTTGCAGTGGCCTTATCATAGCTACAAAGCTATCGGGTCAACAGTGCCACCTGATGGTCAGTGAAGGAAACTAAGATACTTGATATTTCCATCTTCCCTCAAGCAGCTCAAACCACTGCTAAGCTTTACCTCCTTACATGATTTGACTAGCCATAGCTTGGTTATTAATGTCCTATATGGTCTTTGTTCTTATGGAGATATATATATATATATATATATATATATATATATACACTTTATTGTTCTTAATTTACTCTTTATTCTTCTCATTCTAACTCAAATGGCTAAGAAAAGCACATCCTTTTCTTTATATTTCTTTTGTGAACCAAACACAACCATTGGCAGTCAGAATTATTAGTGACTATAAATGAGCAGTAATTCGGGGTACAGTGACACCTAAATACTGATTAAAAGTGGGAAGAAAAAAAAATGAAAAGTGATTGAGAGAGCAAGGAGGGAAGAGAGAGAGAGAAGCATCTTATCAATTGCCTCCCATTTATGGCCCAACTGGGGATTGAACCCGCAACCTTTTGGTGTATGGGACAACACTCCAACCAACCATCCAGGGCAAGATGCATAAGATACTTTGAATGATAGAAATAAGTGCACAGGACTTTTTGTTGAAAATCTACAAGGGAAAAAAATAAATCTATAAGGAATTCTCAGAATCCCCAATTCTGTTAAGTGCACATTTAAGTGATTACTCTTCCCCACCCTAGCAAGAGAAGTAAATTTTACTTTCTGGAGCAATGTAACTAGAGAAATACCAGACTTCCAGGTTATAAACACAGGATGACGATAAGATGCCCTACTGAGCACTAGCCAGCTTGGCTCAGTGGATAGAGCTTCAGCCCGGGTTTCTTTAAAAAAAAAAAAAGGAGCCATCCAGAGCTAAGGCAGTCTCTCTCCAGCTGTTGTCATTGCTGCTGTCTTTGTTTCACCTTTTTTTTCTCTTCAGGCAGACCAACCCCTGCTGCCATGGTAAAAAGTGCCTGGCACAGCTCCTTTAGTAGCTTATCTCAGCCTGAGACAGGAATCTCTCTGCCCCAATTCAAATTCTTAGGGAAGGGACCATGCCTCAGCTTAGATCAGGTTCCCGCTTGTTCTCATTGGCTGTGGTCAGAGAAGTGTGGGACCACATGGTACATACCCGCTCCTGTAACTGGCAGGTGGGGCGGGAAAGGTGCAGTTCCCATCTGAGAGAGGATGGTTTTTTTGTTGTTGTTTTTTTAAAAAAATATATTTTATTGATTTTATACAGAGAGGAATTGAGAGGGACAGAGAGTTAAAAATGTCGATGAGAGAGAAACATCGACCAGCTGCCTCTCGCACACCCCCACTGGGGATGTGCCCGCAACCAAGGTACATGCCCTTGACCGGAATCGAACCTGGGACCCTTCAGTCTGCAGACCGACGCTCTATCTACTGAGCCAAACCGGTCCCGGCGAGAGAGGATGGTTTTGATGTAGACAGAGACCACAGAAGATGTCTTCTACACGGTTCAGATAATTTAACCGTAGCAAAGCAAATTTGATATCCTAATACCCTGAATAAGCAGTGAGGACTTGTTTTTGTTTTTTGTTTTTGTTTTACCCTTACCCGGGGATATGTTTATTGATTTTAGAGAATGAGGAAGGGGCGGGGGGAGAGAAACAGCTATGTGAAAGAGAAACATGGATTGGTTGCCTCCAATACACTCCCAGACTGGGGATCAAATCCACAACCTTTTGGTGTATGGACAACTGCTCCAACCAGCCACACGGCTAGGGCGGTGAGGAAGTGGCACGGTGGGGCCAGTGAGTAATGGTGAGTGTAACAGTCTTTCGCCTTCTGACTCAAATCTGCCCTGTAGTTCCCCTCTGAGCCTCTAGCAGCCCTTCCTGATTTCTCCTTCCTCCTTTTCTCCTGCCATCCCCAACCCTTGTCCTCTTGTCCTCTGGGCCAGCTCTCCCAGCTGGCCCTCTCCTTGGTCCCTGGCTCCCAGCCTGCATGCCCCTTGCTTTGCAGGGCCTGCGCTCCCACCCCCATGGCTCAAAGAATGCTTTTCTTCAGTTGTCCCACTTTGCCCACATCTTGCCCACATCTCTGCCCTCAACTTGTCACACCCTTTCCTGGAAATAATGAGGCAACCACTCAAGCTGCCTCAGATACTTTTCCATTGTTCATAAAAGTACGAGTGTGCCCTGGCCGGTTTGGCTCAGTGGATACAGCATTAGCCTGCAGACGGAAGGATTGTGGGTTTGATTCAGGTCAAGGGCGTGTACCTTAGTTGCAGGATCATTCCCTGTGCCAATTGGGACACGTGGGAGGCAACCAACTGATGTGTCTCTTTCACATTGGTGTTTCTCTCTCTGTGTCTCTCCTCCCTTCCACTCTCTCTAATAAAATCAATAGAAAAAATATCCTTGGGTGAGGATTAGCAAAAAAATAAATAAGTAAATAAATAAATATACAGAGAGCCCTGGCTGGTGTGGCTTAGTTGGTTGAGTGCCACCCAAAAGGTCACTGGTTTGATTCCCAGTCAGGACACACACCCAGGTTTTGATCCTATCCCAGATAAGGGTGCCTACAAGAGGCAATCATTCGATCTTTCTTTCTCATATTGATGCTTCTCTCCCTCTCCCTTCCTCTCCAAAGGAAAAAAAAAAAAAAAATTAATGAAACATGCTAAAAAAAAAAAAAGAATGGTGAGTGTAACAGTCTGCAACAAGCAACAAGCTTCTGTGTACCTAAAAAAGTATTTTGTCATATTTTTTTAATATATTGTATATTTTATTGATTTTGTACAGAGAGGAAGGGAGAGAGACAGAGAGTTAGAAACATCGATGAGAGAGAGTCATCGATCAGCTGCCTCCTGCACACCCCCCACTGGGGATATGCCCGCAACCAAGGTACATGCCCTTGACCGGAATCAAACCTGGGACCCTTCAGTCCCCAAGCCGACGCTCTATCCATTGAGCCAAACCGGTCTTGGCTATTTTGTCATATTTACCTCAGATACTTTTAAGAACAGAAACATTTGAGATAAATTTGCATTTTTTACATCTCTCCCAGATCCCATTCTTTGTCCTTCCTCTGTAGTGACAACCACTGTCAAATCAGAATATAGCCTATTAAAAGTTTGTATCATAGCCGAAACCGGTTTGGCTCAGTGGATAGAGCGTTGGCCTGCGGACTGAAAGGTCCCGGGTTTGATTCTGGTCAAGGGCATGTACCTTGGTTGCGGGCACATCCTCAGTAGTGGGGTGTGCAAGAGGCAGCTGATCGATGATTCTCTCTCATTGATGTTTCTAACTCTCTATCCCTCTCTCTTCCTCTCTGTAAAAAATCAATAAAATATATTTAAAAAAAAAAGTTTGTATCATATACAGACCTATCCATAGTCAACAAATAGTGTTATATTGTATACTTAAAATTGTATGTAATGTATATCTTATTGTGCATTTTATTCTACAAATGATTTTTGGATTCAATATTAAGTTTTTGAGATGTAAACATGTTATTACATATACATAAAGCTGATTTGTCTGATTTGCTGCATGACATTTTGTTGTATGACTTCACAGTTTATTGATTCCATATTGTACTCATTTCTAGTTCTCATTATAACAAACAACTTTCAGAGAACATCATTATATTGAAAAGCCCAGTCTTCCCCTCCTGTGTTCTGGTTCTATTACATATTAACACTTTGACCTTGAGCAAGCTACTTAAACACTCGGAGCATGATTGCCTCATTTGTAATCATGCGTATAGTAATAGTACTGACTCTATGGAATTTTTGTAAGAATTGAATAGTTTAATATATGTAAAGTGCTTACAATAGGCCTGGTATATAGTAAGTGCTATGTGTTACTATTATAATCTCTAAGCCACAGTGGCTAGAGCCTCAGAAGGTAGAGGCTTATGTCACCAAGGGTGGCCTGTGGCTGGGAAGTTCTGGCTTGGAAGCTGTTCTTCCCTGTCTCTTCGTGTGCTGCACTGGAGAGTGTAGACTCAGGAGATTTAGGTTCATGTCTTACCCTTTCTTTTTATTTTTTTAAATATATTTTATTGATTTTTTACAGAGAGGAATGGAGAGGGATAGAGAGCTAGAAACGTCGATGAGAGAGAAACATCGATCAGCTGCCTCCTGCACTCCCCCTCCCGGGGATGTGCCTGCAACCAATATACATGCCCTTGACCGGAATCGAACCTGGGACCTTTCAGTCCGCAGGCTGATGCTCTATCCACTGAGCCAAACCGGTTTCGGGATCATGTCTTACCCTTTCTAGTGCTGGCTGGGTGGCATTGGGAGAGCTACTTAAGCTCTCCGAATCTGGCCCTTCAGTGAAAAAGGAGGTAAATAATACAAACCCATTTTTCTTTTCTGGCCACCTACTGAGGAGCACCCGTCTGCTTCACCTCCACACCTTCTGCAGCACTTCCAGCTTCTGCTCATTCTCACGTCCTTCCCCTGGCTCACTTGTACACATGAGCATAATGTTTAATGGTACTTACTCTATGGAATTCCTGTAAGGATTGAATAGTGTGCACCAGGCTTTCTTAATTTCTTCCTGTGTCCCTTCTTAGCTATTTCCTTTCACACAAAAAGGTGACCAACCTGTGATTACTGCCTTTATTCTTTCTTTTATCCTTAGCCATTAGGCCTCCCCACTGCCATTCTGAGTCACCAGAACCAGGCCTGGCAAGATCTGGGGCCTTTGTATTCTTTCACCTACATTTTCTGAAGGAACTTGAGTGTCACCTACATTTTCTGAAGGAACTTGTTTGAGAAGTGTGTGGGCTCTGCTCAACATTTCTCAGCATTTGACACTTGACCATCTACTCTTGAAGCTTTGTCTTCTCTTGTTCTTCTAACTATACCCGTCACATCTCTAAACCCTAACATTCCTTTACTGCCAAGTTCGCTCATAGCTTATCTAACATCCTTACATCATTCTTTTTCATTCAGCAAACCCTTACTACTGAGCGTCTGCCAGCCGGTCACTGCTGAGGAGCTTCCAGTCTTGGAGAGGCAGGACTAATACTCTCACACAATAAGCGATAACAATGCCAAGACAAAATGATAAGGCCACCACTAATACCAGCATTTTATAAATGTTCAGAATTTGTCACCTTTTTAAAAAAATATATATTTTATTGATTTTGAACAGAGAGGAAGGGAGAGAGATAGAGAGTCAGAAACATCGATGAGAGTCATCGATCAGCTGCCTCTTGCACACCCCCTACTGGGGATATGCCCGCAACCAAGGTACGTGCCCTTGACCAGAATCGAACCTGGGACCTTTCTGTCCGCAGACAGACACTCTTGTCCACTGAGCCAAACCGGTTTTGGCCAGAATTTGTCACCTTTTAAAAACTGGATAAAGTAAACATTTAAAAGCTTTCAAATACGTTTATAAGCAGATATATGTGTCACTGTGACCACTGACAGTCTGACTGCTGCCTCCTTTAACCTCAGCCCCGTCTCCTGGGCGTCAGGAGCTTCTATCTTCTCTGATGTGATGGTCCAGTGGGCTTTAGTGCCACGCTGCTCTGCTGAGTGGTGGGTGCTTCCAGGATCACCGTCTCTGGGCAGCTCTCTCAGTCTGGCTGGAGGCTGGCTCCGTTAGTAGAAATTTTGATTTCTTTTCCTGCTAAACTGGGATAGAAAGTCTCACTCATGTTGTAATTCCTCCCTTTCCCCTAGAGGACATCTCCCATGAGGTCCATGCTGAGCCTTTTTCTCCAGCCGGAATACTGCTGTGTAGATGCAGGAGCTAAGTGGGAACTAGCTGCTGGGAGAACTTATGGCAGAGGTGTCAGTTTTGGTAGGGGAGGGCTGGGAGGGCATGGAAGGGGAAGTGGAGAGAGACTGAGACAAAGTAAAAAAGTGTGAAGAGAACTGATCTGTGTCTGAAATAATATAACCACCAAATACCTGCCTTTGTCCTTAAAAATTGCATGACATACCAGAGTCCTGAAAACTAGTATCACTCAATAGTATGATAAATTCTTTGTGACTGAAAGGTTAGACCTCCATCCCAGTATCAGCACGGCATGATAGATGAAGAGGAGATAAATGGGTGAAGAGGAGGCAGAGGTGGTGGGATTTGAGCCGAGTCTTGCAGGATGAGTAGAAAGCAAAGGAGAATGTAAGATTTGGGGTTGTGGGAGGGGACAGCGTGTGTCTTCATGACTTGGAAGCATGATTGTGATGAAGCTCAGTGGTACAGGGGAGCCATATTGATAGGTCCTTTTCCTAAGTTTTAGGGTACTTCGTTTTTGTTAAACATCTTGATGTTTTTTCACTAATTTTTAGCGAGAGAGGAAAGGAGGGGGAGAGACAAATACTGATGTGAAACACATTGATTGGGTGTCTCCTGCACCTGCTCTGACCAGGGCACGGGATCTAAACTATAATTAAGGTTTGTGTCCTTGAATGGAATTGAACCTGGGACCCTTCAGTTCGAGGGCCGACGCTCTGTTGACTGAGCCAAATAGGCCAGGCTCAGATGTTCTTCATTGTATTAAATGGCACATCCTTGCCTCAGGTGTCTAGGTGATGAACTTGGGATAGGAGGAAGTCCTCTCTTCCCTATTAGAGGGCAAGGCCTGGGACTTGAGGGCTCTGGCCTCTGACCCTTTGAGATCTCCTGGTGACCTATGCGGAGGGGCATGCTGACGTGCAGCTCGGTCACCTTGCTTTTTCCCCCTGCAGGCTGGTGCAAGCAGAATACTGGCACGACCCCATAAAGGAGGACATGTACCGCAACCACAGCATCTTCTTGGCAGATATTAATCAAGAGAGAGTAAGTACCCAAGCCAGGCTGCTGTTATGCATTCATTTTTCTGTTTGGGACATTTATAAAAAGATCAGCAGTGACTGTTTACCCAAAGTATCCCAGACAACCCAGGAAACAGAAGTTCTGTTTCTAGGAGGGGGGCCAGTGGTTCTGAGATTCAGTTCCTTTTAGGGAGGCTGAAGTCCATTTGGCTCTCTTCCCTCATGTCCGTTCCCTTTCCTAGTGTTGAAGCACGGTCAGCTCGGTGGCTTGCTGGCTGGCTTCCATGCATCTGGTTTACTGAGGGAAGTCTTCCTGGTGGGTCCCTTTTGGATCAAATTTTCACATGAAAGAGATTTACTTAGAAGAGATACTGCAAAGGGACTGTGTGTCCCAAACACAAGCATGATTTGAGAGATTCTGATAAACTAGACGGTTTAATTTATATTGTGTTTATCTAGAGTTTTTTTTAAATTTTATATTATTTTAAATGTGTGTGTGTGTGTGTGTGTGTTTTTTTATTGGTTTTAGAAAGGAAAAGAGAGAGAGAAAAAAACAACAATGATTGGTTGCCTCCGATACCCACCCCAACTCTGGGGACCGAGTCCCTGCCACCTAGGCTTGGGCTCTGACTGGGAATCAAACCAGTGACCTTTCAGTGCATAGGACGATGCTCTACCAACTGATCCACACCAGCCAAGGCGGGGAAACAGTAGTATAGCAAAACCTCTCAGAACTTGCAGCTTCTTCTTTTGGCTTGGCTTTCTCTGGCTAGGCGTCTTTAAGCTATATGACAGATCCCTGTGGAGTGCAGTGACAGATTAATGATGGCACCCTGGTTTCTGGGGGCATGCCAGTCAGATAGGATGTTAAGAAAAAGGCTGTACAAGGTATATTCTGGGCAGGAAACTGAAAAAGCAGCCTGTATCATAGGAAAGACACATGGTGGTCCAGGGTCAGGGAGACCAGAGCACTGAAAGGCTTCAATCCCTCTGCTGGAACCTGATGATGACTCTGAGATACTGCTGGCCTCTCCCCACAGGGCGTCAGTGAGTCCTACAAGAAAAACCTGATGGCCCTCAAGAAGTTTGTGATGGTGAAATTCCTCAATGATTCCATTGTGGACCCTGTGGATTCTGAGGTGAGACTGCTTGGGCAGGCCGCAAGACAGACCATAGTAGTAAATGACTTTTTGGGGAAAACCTTAGTCCCGTCCACTTACCTTTGTGTAGAGCAGGGGTTCTTCACCCGAGGTCTATAAGTGGGACACCCGCCAGAATTGTATGCAAAATGGTAACGTTGAATTCTCCGAGGGACTGTAATTTTGATTAGATTGTCAAAGAGACCTGTGACCCCAGTTCAAAGCCACCAGCCCAAAGTCTGTAAGTCCCTAAGGTTGACATTAAGGTCTGTCTTCACCTGGCTTCAACCTGTTTCTCCAGCCTAATCTCCCTACACCATCCACTTACATTCTCTGATCACATTGTACTACTGGCCTGTGCTTTTTCTCTTGCGTTTTTCTTTTTAAATATATTTTTATTGATTTTTTACAGAGAGGAAGAGAGGGATAGAGAGTTAGAAACATCGATGAGAGAGAATCATCGATCAGCTGCCTCCCGCACCCCCCCCCACGGGGGATGTGCCTGCAACTAAGGTACATGCCTTGACCGGAATCGAACCAGGGACCCTTCGGTCCGCAGACCAACTCTCTCTCCACTGAGCCAAACCGGTTTCGGCTCTCTTGCGTTTCTTTACTCAAGCTTTGCAGTCTCTTAAAATGCCCTCCCTGGGCTTCTCCACCTGACAAGCTCCTACTTACCTTTCAAGACCAAACTCAGATTACTTTCTCCACTTAGGATGCTATCCTATTTCAAGTAGAATCAGCCTATATTACAGCACTCATCACATCAGACCACTAGGAATTAGCAAACCATGGCCTGCAGACCAAATCCAGCCTGCCACCTGCTTTTGAATGGCCCATGAACTAAGGATAGTTCTACATTTTTAAGTGGTTGGAAAAGTAAAAAATATTTGATGAAGTGAAAATTGTATGACATTCAGATTTCAGTGTCCATAACATAAAATTCCTTTGGAACACAGCCATACTGAAGTTTTAAAAAAATGTCTGTGGCTGCTTTTGCATTACAATGACAGCATTGAGTTGTTACAACCATGTGGCTCTTTAAGCCAAAAATATTTTGTATGTGACCTTTATAGAAAACTATGCTAAACAATTAGTTGTTTGTGCCTCATGAGACTAGAAATTTTTGAAAAACAGTGACCATAAGTATTTATCTTGGAGTGTGTAGTTCAGCACAAGAATTTTCAGAGGGTAGTTGCTCAATAATTATCGGAAGCAGAAATTTTGGGCAATTGGAAAGCTCTTTGGAAAAGATTAACTCATCTCTCAAGATCTACCCTTAAAAAAAAGATGACTCAAGACATATTCTATTTTTCCTCTTTACTACAACTTCATGATGTCATTATTTGGTTAGGCTTAGCTACCAGCCGGTCTTAAATTAGTTTGGCAGTATATTAGGTCTAGTAATAATTAATGTCGTTTTCTAATACTTTTTTAAATCAAATTTATTTAAACAATACAACAAAATTTAATCAACAATATAGTTGCCGTTGTTTTCTCCTACTTGTGCCCAACGCTCAGGAAGCATTTTAATCCCTCTGTTGTAAAATTCTTGTGATTTTGATGCAAAAAATTCGGTCAATGCATTTTTGAGGCATTCTTCATTATTAAATTTTTTTCCAAGAAGAAAGTTTTGCAAAGAATGAAACAAATGGTAATCGGAAGGGGCAATATCAGGAGAATATGCAGGTTGAGGGAGAACTTCCCATTCCAACTGGCGCAGTTTTTCAGCAGTGATTCTTGCAGTATGCGGTCGTTCGTTATCGTGGTGAAGAATTACGCCCTTCCGATTAATCAGCGCGGGTTCTTTTTCTCTTAAAGCTTGGGCTAACCTTTCCAATTGGGCACTATACACTGCACTTGTAATGGTTTGGTTAGATGGTAAAAGTTCATAATGAAGAATTCCTTTAAAATTCCACCAAACACACATCACCACGAATTTTTTCGCATGCAAGTCAGGTTTTGGCGTGGGCTGCGGAGCCTCATTTTTGTCCAACCATTGAGGCCACCTTTTCAAATTAACATACAGCACCCATTCTTCATCTCCGGTAACAATTTGCTCTAAAAACGGCAAACGGTTTTGACGAGAGAGGAGCGAACTGCAAATTGTGACTCTTTGATTACAGTTGTTGTCGGTCAACTCATGAGGAACCCATTTTCCAAACTTTTGGACTTTGCCAAGTGCACGCAATTGATTGGAAATTGTTTTTTGTGAACAATTTAAAGTTGTCGCAAGCTCTTGTTGGGTAATTTGAGGATTTTGCACCAAAAGAGCTTGAAGAGCTTCTTGATCAAAATTGGACACACGGCCTCGACCACTCTTGTCATCTAACGAAAAATTTCCCTCGCGAAATTTCTCAAACCAACGCTGGCATTTTCTGGCGCTAACTGCATCTTGACCAAGAGCACTACAGATGTTTTTTGCAGCCTCACTTGCTTTTCTCCCTAATTGGAACTCGTAAAGCATGCAGTGCCGAATATGCTCTTTATCCGCCATCTTCTTAGCCCTAGTTTTGCAACAAAAACCAAACTAAACACAAACTTTTTCACGCAAAACTTGTTAGTTGCACTTCACACGTTCTGTAGATACCACGTGTTTGAAGGTTATGTCAATACAAGTCAACGCCAAGCAAGATTTTAAACGAATGTTCCAAAACGACATTAATTATTACTAGACCCGATACATGCCATGTGTGTGATCTGCGTATTTCTTCCTTTCCCGCAGTGGTTTGGATTTTACAGAAGTGGCCAAGACAAGGAAACCATTCCCTTACAGAAGACCACTCTGTACACACAGGTAACTGGTGGGGAGAGGTACTGTCCTTTTCGGCTCCTGGCTCCTGAAGCTGCCAGGTTCTTGGGTGGTAGACCCCGTCCTGTACACCCCAAAGCAGTAAGTGGTCGTGAGGTGTCTGACCCGTCTCGGTGAGGCTGGGTGGGCTGCTGACTGCTGCACTAGTCTGTTAGGTGCTGTCTATAGAATCTACATCTGAAGGCCAAAGGACCTGCACCTCATGGTTTTCAAGCATGTCCAAGGGACACAGCCTTCCTAGCTCTCTGGTATAGAGGTTAGAACTGACTTCTTTTGCTGAGATGCAGACTGGATCAAATCCAACAAGCCCCCTAGGCATAATGAAAACAGGAGACAGGTGTTACTTTGAAACATGAGTAGTTGTGGGAAGTGGTTTTAAATCAGGCACTGACAAGGGGAGCTGTTGCTGGGGGTAATGACTAGAGTTGTGAATTCTTTTTGCAGTAGATGGTTTCTCAAGCAGAGGTTGCAGCATTTCACCACTTCCAGCTCCACACTCTAAAGATTTTATCCTGGAGATACACTCCCCAAAATGCACAAATGCTGTGTCTGAGCCAGTTGCCTTCTACTCGAATTTCTTTAAATTTCAGAAACCTAATCTCTCTTGGCTTTTCTCTTACATTTGATGCCCCTCTTGAATGAGGTAAGAGGGAAGCTAGGATCTGTTAAGTTTTGGCAATGACAACTGAAGAGCCTCCTTATTGTGAAACTCAAACTGATGGTAACCACAGAAGCAACATTCTGATACTGTCATAACTGCTCATCTTCCCACCGTATTTGTTCTGTGGCACATGGGCAATAGTGTTTTCAACTGCAAGATATGAAAACGGCCCAGATTTGTTACCTAGGGGCTGGATGTTTTAAGTTATCGAGCAAATGTTCTCCTATCTTTGGTTCAGTTCCACTAACTGACATTTTGAGGCAGTTTTGTCCTCCAAAAGGTTTGGAAAACTTTAGAAAGCAAAATATAAAACTATAGAATAATC